AATGCCCTAACAAATACTTTGGGATCATTGTTTATGTATATTTCCATGGTTTCAATGCCCTAACAAATACTTTGGAATCATTGTTTATGTATATTTCCATGGTTTCAATGCCCTAACAAATATATTGGGACAACTAATTGTATTTCCTTTAATGTGATTCAAGCCACATTAGTTTTTTTAATGTATGTAAATATTCCACTAATAAATAAAATCATTAATTATCAGAATATTTGGGGAAGCCTATCCAAATAGTAGATAGAAAATTTTTGTGATTAACATTATTTGGAATATCCAAAAAGAGAAAGTGCAGAAAAATAATGCATTATGCAAAGTTCCTTATACAATGTCTATATTAAATATCTCAAATTTAAACAAATCTTTTGAAGCTGCATCATTCTTGTTACCACCTTCCTTAAAACATATTCATTAGCTACTTACTTTTGTCATAGATAGGGTCACTAACCACCGGGGGAAGAGGAACGGTATATTTTCCCGTTTGTGGGTCTTCGATAAAAACTTGAAAACATAGCCTTACAACATTGAGGTCTATGTTACTTGCCTGTAGCTTGTGATCAAATCCAGCTGTTTGAAGATTAAAAAATTACATTAAACAACGAAATGAAAACCTATTAGGAATTACTTTTTTTAATTATCACACACATATTTTTGTTTTTTTTAAATCAATCTTTGCTTCCTTGGCAAATATTTAAATCTGGTCCTAAAATTCAAGATATGCATTCGCAAGAGAAAATTTCAGTGATGATTTATATTTTCTTATACAATATCACCTTCTAGAAAATAATCTTTAAACGAAAAGTTTCTAACAAACAACTGTGAAATATCATAAAATTTTCATTTTCTTTTGATCTGGAGACTTGAAATACATAATGTAATATTATGTTTCACAGGTGTATAACACTTATTATAAAGGAAATTTCATGTATGTATACTATATGACATTAATACTTGTCTATTTTGAAGTAACTCACTTCGATATGGATCCACTTTTATCTTTTCTCGGTGCCTCAAGAATTCTTCAATATCTTTCCGTTTCACGCACTGAATACCGAGGCTTGGAAAGCTGTGGACATTAGCATATATCTATTTTTAGACACTTACTAGTACATTTTTCAACTACATATTGCTGTGTAAGCTTGTGATTTCTGATAATAAAACTACAGCCACAAAAACTCATAAAACAATAAATGTTAGAAATCTGTGGGTTTCAATGAACATACTTAAGTTTTATGGTGAAATGAGAGATTATTTTTATGCAATGTATTTATAGGAAGAAGGAAGTAAAATTAATCCAATAACCTGAACAAACTACTGACCTACAGGTCATATCATGATTATTAATAACCATAGTACAGATGCCCTTCTTGCAGCCTTCTCGTCCAACCAAGTTGTGAGGATGGGGTCTATATGGTGGACCCTCTTTGGTCACACATGAAACAACAACCACTGCTGAACCTCTATAGTTCACAACCTGACAAAAAAAAAAGATTTTATAAGAATACTTCAAAACTGAAGGAAGGCAAAGGAATAAGAATGAAAGAGACATACTAATACACGAACAAATGGCAACAGATATATTCAGAACACCAAACCACCTGATGTACTTAAGTAATTATTTTAAACTCGGTATAATCTTAAAGATCTTTCAAAACTGTAGTTAGATGCTAAAATAACAAATAAATATTATTCAGATACACAGAACATGTGTCTAATCAGAATTCTTTTCTTAATTCTGAATGTTTCTGTATGAAAAATATCAGCACACTTTTAGTATCTAGCTATCCAATATGCTGATTTAAATGGACAAATCTTCTTGCATGTCACATCCAAGTATACCATTTAAATAATACTTTCTCCAGGTTTCTTTAGACTACTACAAAATATTTGTTGATAAATAATACAGCTGCCCTAATATGCCAAACTAAAAACTTCCTCGTTTGAATCTCACATATAAATATTCACCAATATTAAACTTTATTTTTTTTTTTCATTTCTGCTCTTGGGTTCACAGTTTGCTTTATACAAAGTCACAAATAAAAGTGTCACGGAGAAAATAACAAAGTCAACCAGTTTTTGGGTGTAAAACTTGTTACTGATTGACCTCAACCAAAATATATTCCAATATACCTGTATTGTAGGGTACGTTTTGCAGTCTGCAGTGCTGTTTTCTCCAGGAATGCTTCCTGCGGACCGACCTTAACATTCATACCTAAACCTCAGTGCCCGAGAAGCAGGCAGTTTTTGGGTGTAAAACTTGTTACTGATTGACCTCAATCAAAATATATTCCAATATACCTGTATTGTAGGATAGGTTTTGCAGTCTGCAGTGCTGTTTACTCCAGGAATGCTTCCTGCGGACCGACCTTCACATTCATACCTAAACCTCAGTGCCCGAGAAGCAGGCTGCTCCACAATTCTGATGTAAGGAGCAGGATGTGTTGGTGCCATCGGGGTAGCAACAAGGGAAACAGAAGGATCCATAGCCTGGTGCCAAATAACTTCTTCTGCAGATTGGATAAGTGATCACGTGAATGTGTGTTTTGTTTAGAGCAAAAAACTTCAATTTCTTTACTTTTAAGTACTAAGTCCCCAACTCAATAAATTTCCAAATTTTTTGCTACATGTAACAATGTATTTGTGACTAAAATTACATGTTTTTTTCATACTTCAGTTCAACATAAACAGTATTTTGACATTAAGTCTTTACAATAAGAATATAACAAACAGAAAATCAAAGTTATTTTGCACAATAAGAATATGGTCAATGTTCTTTAGAAACATTACAAATATATACAAAACATGCAAATAAAAACTATGAATTAATATACTTAGTGCAGAGCCGTTACAAACAATTTTATCAATTACAGAACTTATTATGTTGAGGTGGTAAGAAATAGGCTAAAGAGGACAGTATCACAAATTTTGTAGCAGCTTGACATAACTACTGGATAAACATTATAGGACATGCGAGAGATTTCATGCAACAAATTGGTCCTAATGCCAGATGTTAGTTAAACCTTGGGAAGATAGTTAGGTGGAGTTAAACCTACAAATTCAGTCTTACCCACATCTTCAATGGTGAGAGAATCATGAGTCCCTGTAGGAAACATGCCAGAGTATCCAAAATAGTGTTGAGATAACCCACCACCTAAAGCAGAATAAGTTATTACATGTAAAATAAAGTTCAGCATATCTATGTGGTTTTGAGTCTGTTTTACTTCACCATATAGCAACCTGTATTAATTTAGGTATATGAATAATGTTAAGACATTTTGTCCAATTCATTATTCAATATTATACAGCAGAGCAACCGTTTAATGAACATACGTGTATATATGTAAACATTTTTTTTTTTCACCAGAGGTGAAATTGAAAAGAGAATCTGTGATGTAGAGGCTTAATGCATTCTTTGCTTGGCTGTACCATCTATTAGCATAGTTATTCACAACCCACTTACATTAAAGTTAGTAACTGGTTTAGAAGGCATGCAAGGATTATAATACAGCACTAGAAGCTAACAAAATAACGGCCATTAAAACAGGCAATGTAGATTGCTTAATTTATAACATTTACTAGTTTAATAGTTCACTATACGACCCACAAATACATTATCTATGAACAACAATTGACCATTTGGTCCTTCAAGGCTTTCCTTGCACACCCACTCTTGGAAAAGTACAAACTTAACTGCAACATTTAGTTTCCAGGAAATCATCAATTCCCCTCTTAGACTCCTGTAACATGCTGGCCTCTACTACTGCCAATGGCCATGAGCCAATAACCATCACCCTATCAGAAAAATAACCCTATCTTAATTGAAGTCTAGCCTGTCTTTCCCAAATCTTAAAATTTGTTTCTTGTGCTGTTAGTTTCAATAAAATAAAGGGCTTTTATCCTATCAATTTCCTAGATAACCTGGTTATATATATAAAACATTAATATTCCAAGTGAGTTTATAATGATTCTATATTTTAATGTTATTAGTTTCAACAATTAGCAAATTTTTGGGGAAATGGGTGACCACAAAGAATTGTACTTCTAAAGATGCCTAAATAGGTTAATAAAGAAGGAAAGTAAAGAATGAAATGCTAGAAGAGAAACAGATAAACAATTCATGACAGAGGTCACTTCAGTGAACTGAAAAAATAGATTACTCTTTTTGAAGTTATAATGTCTTTTCTGTTTCATCAGTACAGTTTTAGCATTTTCTAATATTTAAACACATTTTATGAGTTGGTCTACACAATCCAGAGACCAGCAGAACAAGCTGGTTATCAGTTATAAAGTTTCTACTTTTGTTTATTTTCAAATTTGAATATATTCCTTAACGTTCATAGATATTTTTGGTAGCAAAAACAAACTGATAGGTCATTTTCTCACAACTCTGTAAGAAGGTGAGTAATTGTTGTTTGATGAGTCAGTTAGTAATTTTGTCTATGTTGCTCTTGACAGTAAAAAAAAAAAGAAGAAAAAATCATCAAATGGCTTTATGAAAAAGGAAACGTATATTGTAAACAGCTCATCACCTATAAAAGATGTAACTCCTGCACTACCTTATCTTCTATATTACAATGAGTTTATATTGATGTATAAATTTTATTTCTCCCAATTTAAAATTTTCAAGATTATTCCATACAAATAGGCAAACATTTCAACCACCAAAACTTTCAACTGAGCAGGGTCACATTTAAATAGTGCATGAAAACATATTTGCAATTTTTCCTCAGCAATTATTTCACTTATTATGAATGGTGTCTGAACATAGTATTGCTAAATATTCTACAATGTTTTCTCACTATACATAGGCTGAATAAAAAGTATTTAACCTGTCCGGCAAATGTTTTCGTCCATTTACAGAAAGTTTCAGATTTAATCAATGCAGCCTCCTATATCTTGACATGTAGAATACCTAGAGCAAAACTTTAAATCATCACTTAAACACAGTAGTAATAGCTTAAAACAAGTTCAAGTTGGGTTTATGAAACATCTAAGTCTCCATTCTGACCTAGATTGACCTTCAAAGTTATCACATCTTTATGTAGTAGCTGTTGTGCAAGTTTAGTTAAAATTCCTTCAACCAATCTTGAGATGTCCTGTCCAACAGAATGGGATGGATGAATGGACGGACAGGGGCAAACCATTATGTCCTGCTCTGCTTTACAGTGGTGTCATAAAAAAAAATAGCAGCATATTAAATTACCAGGATGTTGAATCTTCTTACAGCACAAGAAACAAAAAAAAAGATACCCCGTTCAAATTACACTGATTTGATTACACTATAATAAATACCAATTACTATTATTTAGTCTGTGGATCTTCAGGTTACTATCTTGTACTTCACTAACAGGGTGATATTCCACAAATAAAACAAGTCTTTGATAACAATGTTGTGTTTCAAGATGGTTATGCTTAGTGTTTAAGAGTGAAACTTTAGTTTAATTTTGTTTTTTTTGGTTAATACACTTGGATGATGTTTTTGGTGTTTAATATGTATGCACTAGTCTGTAATTTGAATGAATTTTGTCTTTAGTTCAACTTTATCAGCACCATTACAGCCACACAAACATCTATGATCCTTTCTTTCTATTCAATTCAACTGTTAAATCTGGTATTAAAATCCCCAAATTTAAGATTGGTTTAGTAATACTATCCAAAGTAACTGACATAATACACATGTTGTATACTAATATAAGTAACTTGAATGAAATTTTATGTGTAGAGAAAAAGGAATTATAATGTTTGTGGAACACTGCACAAAAGTTAAAAGTACAACTTACCAGCTTCTCCTTGAATATCCTGCAATGAATAGGCAGTTTGTCCATAAAAATTCATTTTCTTAACACACTGTATTAAACTCACATACAGTAGGTTGGTGATGTTACTAATACTAGTCCAACACTCGCATACTACACAACGAAAGGTTTGCATGAGCTTGCACTACTATCTGAATTTAGTGAAAGAGCGGAAGTTAACACTAAATATATAACCATAGCAAATTCTTATCAGTGTAAAACTGTATGTGCACGTGGCTTATCAATATACCGGTAGTAGTGTAACCACCTCCCTCCATCCCAGCCTAATGACTATCTTACAGAATTCCTTATCGCATTATTGATTACTTGAACTTCAACACCTCTAGTTGCTATCTTACATTAAATATAAGTTTGTTTGTTTTTTAAACAGTGATTTTTACAACTCAGCATGTAGGTTTGTATAGTCAATGTCTAACTTCAAATGTTACAAGTTTCATCAGGGTATACTTATTTTTACAGTTTTCTGTATGTGTACATCACTGGTGTGAATATTGTAAACCATACAGCATTTACCATCTTAAAAACAAAGTCCAAATGCTGATTTATTTCAAAATTATGCTAGATGTTAAATGAGAATTCAAAGTCATATGACAAACTCTCATTAAAACTTGTGTACTCAAAACACTGAGTAATTTCACTACAAATTCATTACCATTTTGTGTGTGTGTGTGTAGTGTGTGTGTGTGTGTGTGTGTGTGTGTGTGTGTGTGTGTCTT